TTCCAAACTTAATGACTCTGTGAAAGAGAAGCTTGAGTCAAGCAATCCTCAATTCATCTTCAGAAGCATTCACAATCCATCAGTTGTCATCACGGTGATCTTTCTTAGAAGGCATCTGCCCCTGAAAATTCCCTGTTTACCATCAACACTTTCAAAGTCTTTCTCTCTTCTGTGTCATTTTCAAGGAAACTAACCTGCTGAAGAAACCCCCGAAAGCAACGGTGACTATCTTGCTTCCACGTCCAAAGGAAAGCTTTGCCTGGGGGAAGATGGAAGAGAGGAGGACGGTGCGGGTGGAGAGAACGTAGCTACAATTCTTCAATCTTTTCATATCTAAAGAGGACAGCAATCTCTGTTCTATCAGACCGCGTGGTTCGTGCTTTAAATGGTACTTGCTACTAGCTTGCGTTCCCTGTCGCTGTCTCCCTCCCTTTGAAGCAGACTGGACAGCTTCCTCAAGCTGGCGTTATCACTCCCTCTAACCACTCTTGGCAGGCAATCTAATTCCCCCTGAAAAGGTCACCGCCATTTTAACTGCCTTTCAATCACATTAAGCACGCTGCCGCTCGTGCTCAGAGCGCTGCGCCTGCAGCTCTCCTGACTGAGGTGCGATCGATAAACTGACATCCTGTCCCCCCGCCAGCCCCAGCCGCTCCCTCCCGGACAGCCCCTTCCAGAGAGAGCGGCCGGAGACGGAGTGGGAAGAACCCCTCGTCGAGCACGAGGCAGCAGAAGGGAGCTGCTAACCTGGTGTTTACTCATCTACTTCATCCCATCTGCTGGGGAACAGAAGGGTGCAAGCATCCCCTGCTCCCAGCCCTGCAGAGGCGCGACTTCACAGGACAGTTTGCTCAGGCATCGGCCCAGACACCTTTGAAGCTGTGTTACAAAGAACAAGCCTCCCTCAAGCTTCCCTCAATGCAATCATTACCGTTATCTCTCCCCCCGTGCTTCTTTTTTTTTTTTTTTTTCCAGTTACGAGTTATATGTTCCACCCATCGATCCCTGTGTAAGACACTGTTTTAAGTCCTCTTGCCTTTTGACTGTGCTAAGCCGTTTAAGAGATGACAGCAGCTTCTATCAGCGCGAAGCTGATGTGATTCTTTTCAGATAAAGCACTTTTTTTCACTCCCCCCCTCCTTTTTCCTTCTTTCAAGTAAGAGACATACACACAAAAAGAGACAGTGAATCTTTCAAAGAAAAAAACCCTTTTGAACTTCCCTCAGGAAATCTTTAAAGGGATAACCTTACAGTGTAAACACTGAGGGTAACGTGCATCCATTCTGGAGAGGAACAGAAGAATTGCTACAAATACGTTGAGTGGTAGAAAAAAAAACAACTAAAAAACATCAGAGAGGGAGCCACTTGATGCTTTCACTTGTGAAGCCTCGTTGGCTTCCTAAACAGAGAAACTCATTAGACAAAGATTGCATGAAATAATCTCCTGTAACAAAGACCATCAGAAAGGGATGATCCAGGGACATGGGGACAGATGGTTCAGGAATTTCAAAAGAAATTTCAGTCTTGTGACAATTGAGAGATAGGGAAATATTTTATTAATTCCTCTCTATGGCTTTACATTTTGAAGCAAGAGCTTGATTAAAATAGCAGTAGGTATTTCATGCTGGTAGCCTTCTGCAGTCATCTTCAACTATGAATTCCTGCTTCAAACAGAACCTCTGCTGAAACAAAACCATTCCAAATCCTATCTAACTGCCAACAATCTTCATTTATACCCTGCACGGATCCAGTCTGAGATAAGCACATGAAGCAATAGCAGACGATGCTTTGCGAAGGCAGGAGAACCTCTAGAAGTACTAAATAACTCCTGACTGAATGCCTTCACCAAGCCCAACTGCTTAAGAGACAGCATACTAATCTCAGCACTTCTCACCCAGGCTGTATTCCTAGTTGCTACTATCTCCTTTTCTTTCCAACTGCTGTGTCAAGTACACTGAACCACGGCAAGCAAGGAGTACTTCAGCTCTGCTGGACTTCTTAAGACAGCCCCTAAGGTGAGAGGAGCAAATCTTCCCTGCAACAGCTTTGGGATCAAGAAAACTTCATCCTGGGAACCACACAAGTGAGGCTTTCAGCCTGTGATTGCTCTCAAGTATTAAACCATCTTCCAGAAAATCTGAGCTGGGCTGTTACTGTCCCTGACCTGCTTTCAAGGAAGAAAGAAAAAAAAAAAGAGTCGCAGCCTTCCCTCGCCTGAAAAAACTGACAAGATCTTTCAGCAAAGCTTTACTGACCTTGAGAGGCACATAAACATGCCCATTAACCAAAGATGATAAGAATAGGCAGCCAGGAACCTGTGCTAAGTTTGAGCTGCTTCTGTAAGGCTGCCCACCATCTGAGCCAACTCGTGCAATACGTGCTGGCCACAGCATCCTGCTCCACTCACCGCCCAGCTGTGACATCTCCTCCCAGCAACACACTATTAAAACCAAAACTGATGAGACACATGGATGTCTATTCTCCCCTCTGGTTTTATATATTTCCCCACGTCAACTCTTCAGACGTCCCTGACATCCCTGCAGCCTGGCAAAAGCTGTCTGGCATTATAAAAGGCCTTTGATTTCCACATCGCTGCTACTTTTTAGCAAAGGGAACAGAGCCAAACATGAAGCCTCGGGTGACAAGGGTTAATGAGGGCCTTACCAACTCCAGACAAAGCATGTTTAAGCACTGGAGAGCATCTCTAGAACACCGTGTTGTGCTTCAAGGCTGTACAATGGGGACTCTGCCCCTAGAACAAGGGAAGAACCAACATTGGCTGAGAAAGGAAAAGGAGAGTCAGCTTTACCTGAGAGTGCACAAAGCAGGTCTGACCAACAAAGACCAGAGAAAACAGGAGAATCACTAAAGGGAGCATGGAAAACTATAACTTCCTTAAAAAGAAACTCAATCAGCTAACAAGGGGAGCTTTCCAGCTTCGCTTTCACTTCCCACATTTTATGGAAGATTCCTGTATAGCGTATGCAGGTACCCTGCAGATATCATCTAGCCATCCCAAAACATTATGCAGAAAGTTGGTTTTAAGTAGTATCCTGCCTATAGCATAGCATCCTGCACCAAGAGCAGGAGTCAACTAGAAGTCCTTCCCATCAGGGCAATTACAGAGGGTTTACCCATGCTCACCTCTTCCAGTTTGCTGGTACTTTACTGGATCACTTCACATAACTAAACGCTGTTGACAGTGTCATGCAGATCTCGATAAGGAAAGAGACAGACCTCATAATTCTCAATGGAAGCAAGGCTACTTCTGTACATCAGATTCAGAGATTCACATACAGCCAGCTAGAAGAGAAGGTTGCAGCCATGACTGCTGTTACGATCTATTTAATCTTTGATGGTGAAGGAAAGTAGTTGATTTATTTAATGCAAACTAACACACTTGAGAATTCCAGTTTAAATAAAAAGTATCAGGGTGTAAACCCTCTGCATTTATACAGCCTAACCCTATCAGTTACACACACTTTGTCAACCTGGAGCCTTGTATGAAGAACACCCTGACTGAAGCCGTATGAAAACTTCAAATCCATACTTCAGTGAATTAATTCAGACACAGCTGGAAATAGATCCAGGTGAAGACAGCACAATGCTTCAGCCAAAGAAGTGGAAGATTGTGCTCTCTTCCAAAACTCAGCTGCTCGGTGCACAGAGTACACGAGTACACTCTGTATGTGCATGGTCTGTCAGGAATTAACTGAGTATCCTGTCTAATCAGGACTAGTAGAGACAAAAGCACACAGGCATCCCATGCTTCTCTGCTACTGATTGTAATAACTGCACTAAACACAAGCCTAAGGCCCTGCATGGTCTCATCAGACTGCTAGCCAGTATCATTCAACTCTCCATGCCGGAAAGAAGTAATGAAAATGAAGGCCACAGACACAGAAAGCAAACAACATGAGCTTCAATGGGTAGCCTTTAAAATCAGTAGAAGCTGCTCCTTCACCTCTGTGCTCCTGATACCTGCTTTAATATGATGTAATTTCAGAGGAAGGTAAGAGCAAATCAGAGTGCCATGTTGCCACTGAGTACACAACTGGCTTTTAAGACCAAGTCCCTCACTTAGCAGCCTTTCCTCTTGAGATGTTTTAAATTAAAATCCAAGCTGATATAGGAAGAGATTACATCCCACCCTCTATTGAACGGAGGGAGCCAGCATTCCTCCCCTCATTAGGTATGCACTACGTGGATTGCTTGTGAGACTCTCCTTAGTGCCAGAGGTTTGTGCCAAAGAGCAGTTTAGTAAATCCTCCTCCTTGAGGCCAAAAGGCTGAGTGTAAGAGAGGGGACAGGTTTCTAGCTAAAATTACATTCACCAATAAAGCTCATGAGAGGTCAAATTTTGCCATAACTCACTCTCTCCTCAGTAACTGATTTCCCCGTCACTGGGGAAGGAGCAGAAGAAGGAGAAAAATAAAATGTGTTTGTCTGGGAGCCCTAAGGGCTTGCAGTGCTGGAGGTGCAGAGCAGGTTTCTGGATTCTCATTTATCAACCTTAAAAGGGATGGAGTGATAAATGCACAACCGGGCCTTTAATATTTTATGCAGGTGCTAAAGCGACTTAGCTGTCACCTTCAATACATCACCAGAGGCTGGTACACCAGCTTTCGTCACTCCAGGCTGGGAGTTTTTACAATTTCATTTCTATTTCTATTTCCGTCTCTTCACATATTTCCACGTATATGATACTAGGTGTAACATATAAGAATCTATTTTCCCCAGATGATCTCCCCATTTTACCCGTTCCCCTCTTTAACCACATTTCTTGAGCAAGAAATAATACCATGCGTTTGCTCAGGACTTGCACAATTTTTGAATCTTACCATTCCAGAGGGGCAGAAAGCTGAAATTGCTTTACATTCTTGCAAAGGGTTAAGGTCCCATTCTTTGGGAGAGAACTTCCACGTCCCTCCCTTTAACAACAAGCCACAGTCACCTACCACAGCTGAATGATTTACAAGGGACTCAAAACATCGGCTCACCTCGAAATCCTCCCTCCAGGAGAGTAGTGGCCCGTATCCTCTTCTGCCCACACCATTCGTATTCTTCAAAGCGGTTGCCGTTCTCGTTCTCGATGTCTACAGAGTCATCCTCGGTCATGCACGAACCTTCTCTCTGCACAGGGGAAAGCGGGGACAGAGCGTTGAGACACATGAAATAGCACTACAGGGTTAACAACTCAGGGTGAGATAGAGAAGGAAAGCTGGGCTGTTCCGGGGTAGGATTTGCTCCCCCCTCCCCATTCCCAGCCATCGGAGCTCAGAAGTAAATGGGAACTATAAGAATATGACAACCTTAAAGTCAAAAGAAGTGGCAGGGGGTCATCAGTTTTGCACAAGCAAAACTCAGCTCTGGTTCCTATGACACTGGTGTGCATTTCAATGTGTTCCCCTACTTGGAGCACAGTTTCCCTATTTATCATGTAAACAACAGATTCCTTTGATCCCCAGCACTGAGAAGCTCCCAGGCTACAGGAGCTGACAAGGAATACTCTCCTAGAGCATTATTGAGGCACACTGATCAAAAGACACCTGTCTTTACACCACGCACTTCTTGAGATGACAAGAATGAATGAATTTGTTATCTCTGTTATGGGCTTTCCCTGAAAAACAAGCACAGAAAGCCCTATGACAATTCTCTTATCCCTGATGCTTTTTCCTCCTTATTCCTTGCTGTCTTTGGAAAAAACAGCAAGAGAACTGTTCTGCTTGAACACAATTTTTGGAGTAAGGTGGTCACGAAACATTTACAAGTGCCAGCTTGGAAAAGAATCCAACAAAAGTAATTCCAATGCTGTCGCCGTGCAGAAAGAACTCTTCTTGCTGTGCTGCATAGGAAGCATACAGCACTATAAAAGGCTTCACACACTCAACAGCTCTACACTTACTTTCTACAACTTAGACTTAGTGAAAGAGTGCAGGAAATAAATGCAAAACAGGAGAAATTCCAGAAGAATCCACCTTCCAAGACAAAGGAAGTGACTACAGACCTCAGGGAGACAGTTAGCATTGCCTGCAAGCTCAACAGTGTTAGTGTTTGCCCCATGTTAAGTCAGACAAAGCTGAGAGTAGGGAGAAGGGAATGGCAGCTGGCGATCCTGCTGCGCCTCTACCTTTGCAAGGCATTGTTCCACATGCCTACTCATCTCCTCCTCGGATCCTGACAGAGGTCGGTTGCAGAGGGGACATACCTGCCCTTCGTCTTGCTTCCTCCGTTTCATTTTTCCAATCCGAGCTGCATGGACAAAGCAAGGAAAGAAAAAAAAAAAAAAAAAAAAAGGAAAAAGGAAGATATGTCAAGTTTGTAGATCCATCCATTCCTTACACAGAAACTTGCTCTGACCACAGAAAGCCACTGCAGTGCCCAGAAGGCCTCAGACAAATTATGTAAGACAGCCACTTTCAGGAGTGTCTCCTGCACGCCCTAAATGATTCCTTCCCACACTGTCACAAGCAGATCTTAGTAGCAGGTAGCATTTATGGAAAGATCCTTGCTGTGAAAAACACAGCACCCACCCCAGACAGCTTCTGTCTCTCCCTGTTATTTTTATTTCACTGTTCTAATGTATAGAGAAACTGCCTTCTTCAGGGCATGTTCTGGGAAACAAACATGTTAGGAATCACGCTGATTAGAAAAAGCAGCCAAGGTAGCCTGTTGCTTAATATGATCTCTGGTTAATTTGAGCCATCGTTTAATGTGATCAAAACATCTGGAACCAAATCATTTGCATTAAATAGAACTTCTGTCCTTTATTATGATGGCTTTAGGCAGGTATTACTGAATAACTCAATCACTGGCTGCAAGAAAGTTCCTATTTAATTAATATGGAAGGTCAAAATTCTGAATGAGAGACAAGGAAAAGCCCAAGGAAAGCCCATGTGATAATGAGAGATGACACCACCAAAAAGCTGCAGAAATTGTTCCTGACATGGTGAGTGCTGCAGCGTGCTCTGAAAGCCTTGTCCACAAAACCTAAGAGATAACAGCTCTCTGCAGCCAGAGACAACGAGAAAGGTGCTGCAACACCAGGACCACACCAGGGTACAGGAAAGTTTGTGTCAACTGTCCCCTATGGTACATCAGATTTGTGCATTCACAGCATCGTGTGATTGATGAAGCTGGAGCTGAACACACCACCAGCCTTGAAACAGGGCTTTATTGTTGGCTTTGCTGGACATAGGAATCTCTGGGTTTGGATGTGCTTTCCCACCATTCAGAATTAGGAATATTCACCTTCCCCTACGCTCTGAAACTCCAGTATTAAGAAGGCTTCATACATCCGGAGCACTGCTTTTCCTCACTGAAAGCAAGCAGATTTGCCAAAAAAAAAAAAAAAAAAAAAAAAAAAAAAAAAAAAAAAAAAAAAAATTCCTTCAAAACAAACCTGTGTTCCTGGCATCATAAAAAGGATTCTGCAAACACAACTCTCCTACAATAACAGACAGCTCCAACCAGAGCAGGAGTGTCTTAGAGACCCAGTTCTTTGAACAGCAGCAGCTCTCTTGAGTAAATGCACACTGCTTTCATCTGGTGTTGGAGTTTCACAGTCTGTACTTCAGTATTTCTGGTAGGATGTTTTGGTATTTTCCCTTCTACTTTATCTGCTTAAGCCAGTTATTTTATCTGCAGCGTCAGCTTTTACTCCAGAAGTAAACTGCATGACTCCCAGTCAATACAAAAGCAAACAATAATCACCAAGTGTTATTTCAGAGCGCCCAAATGAATTATACTCCACTTCTAATTAAAACAATGACCCCTAAAGTCTTCTGCTTTATCTCCCCACTTGGAAGCCCCCAAACCAACCCCTCCAAGCTGGCACAGCACTACTACCAGGGATAGTGTTTAACCATACTCTTATCTGGTTTGTACTTCAGTGCATAAGAGCTTTCTGAAGTTCCAGGTCAGGGAGCACCTACACCCCCTAGCAGGGCTTCTTCCCTGAGAGAGCAGGCTGGAAACTGACTCAGTTGTATTCCAATAAACGCTCACCTGACCAGAAAAAAATAAAATGCAGGAAGACAGAAAGCAAGCCTTCTCTATTCTAGCGACAGACACCTGTCCCTCAGCTCACCCTGTTTTTAAGCAGGGAAATGGAGGGAAGGAGCATTAAAATATTCTGGTAGGTCTCAGCAGGTGGCTCCTTGGCGAAGCAGCCCTCGTAGTTCCAGTGTCACAAGTGAAAAAGCCACTGGACAGAAGAAGTGTTGAAACCAAATCCCCTGCCATTTTCATTCTGTGGTCATTAGTGGTGCCCACAGAGGCCCGGTGTGCCCCTGGCTGACAGCAGAAAACCAAAGGGACTGCTGCAGCCTCGAAAGCCCATCCCAAGCCACATTTTCCATACCCGACACGCAGCCCTGCCATCACTTCCAATCAGCACGGCAGAGACAGAGCGGCCCCAAAGGCAGGGGGTGATTGTGGTGCTGTCCCGAAGGGGAACCGCTCAAAAGAACACGCAAGTAAGACCACAGGATTCTTAATTAGTGTTGATAGATGCGATCATTTCTAATTAGCTCACTAATCCCTCTCCCCTACACTCCTGTCGCAGGAGCTTGGGAGAAGAAAGAAGAAAAAAAACCGTGATTCCCTCTTGTAATTCAGCGAGATAAAAACACAGGCAGAAGCAGTCTGGGCTTCCAAATCTCTGCTGCCTTCCCACAGGAGTGGGGGAGAGGAAGCCAGGCCACCCTCCGCAGGTGGAAGGGACCGAGTGTCTTTCTCACAGCTCTTCCCATCTAGGCTTAAGAATTATTAATGCTTGAGGATTAGGTTATGCTCTGGCTCAGAAAAATTTCCTGGAAGGAAAGCTAATGGGTTTTAGTTTTCACCGCCACGCTTCCCAGTAAACAGAAATCCACCCTCAGGATGGGGCTGTCTAATTACACCCAGAGTGCTCTTCCAGTGCATCCAGCAGTGGACACGAGACAAACCTCTCCTGCAGCATCCAAGGAGATGATTAAGTTACTCGCAATATCTCTTATGATTCCCTCCACCAGTTTGAGTGGTCCCCCGAGTCCCATGCAGACATCATTAGCAGCTCCTGCAATGGCAGGCCAATCAAATTAAATGGAAACATTTTGGTCTCCTTTCCAGTGAAAATCACCTAGCTTTGTCCCTCCCCCACCCATCACCAGCTACTGGAGCACTTGGTGTGCTTGTGGTGAATTGAGTGCAGCAACAAACCACAAAGATCATTGTAAGGACCCATTCTGCAGCTCTACTGAGAATGCCAACTTTGCAAATACCCCTAAATGTGAATCAGAGATATTTAGGCATGAGAGGTAGCACCTGCTCTCCACAAATCTACTACAAGAGTCTTGAGGAGTGTTTACACTTTGTTGGACTCATCACAAAGGGCTTCTGTGGCTGATCAACTTACCCAAGAGCATCTGATCCAAGGGAAAAGACAGCTATGACAGAGTACAAAAAGCCACCTCAAGAACAAGCTAAAGCAGGAAAACAGATGGTCAAGAATAAATCTGTTTCAGACCTTGTGTCTGATTTGCTGCTCATCTGCCTGAGAGAGAACACTAAAGGCCAAATTCACAGAAGGGTCTCGACGACACAGATAATTTTCAGCAATCTTCCACCTGACGCTGTTCTCCAAGGATGGCACAGACTTGACCTGCTGAATCCATGCTCTGGTACACTAATCATAACTGTGCCTCTAAGCAGACCTGCAGCATTAAACTCCTTCAGCATCAATTTACAGAGTGCCTTCAAGTTTTGACTTTAGCAACATGGGAAAAAAGGCAAATGAACAAAATGCCTTCTTTAACAGATAGCTACACCAGGAATCAGCACCTCATATGCCTGAGTTCACAAGGACACAACCCCATGAAGTGAGGTTAGCACAGGTGAAGGGTGCTGGATTAACTCACTGAGGCTGACAGGGAACTTCAGATACAAAAACACTCGACCAAGTGTCTTACAGACAACATTAATCTGCTGCTCCAGAGCTTACAAATGCCTTATGTACAGAGCTTACAATTACCTTACGTACAGTCCAAGGTAAGTTAAAGGTTTGACTTACAGAATCAGAATTCTGGACCAAGTATATGTGAACCACATAAGGTCTTATTTACACTGCACCCAGGCTCACAGAAGACATCCCTTTCTCTACCTTCTCTTTCCTTAGCTCCTGTTCTGTCTCAAGTGACCACACTGGGATGAAACGTCCAGAAAATCTGAGAGGCCACTCAGGCACAAAGAGCCAGGGCAGCTGAGATCTGAGTCAAGGTCTACGTGGGAGAACAGCAAACACTGCAGATCCCTCTTTACAGGGGGAGTTTCCAAAAGTGATCCTAAAGCTCAGCTGGTAAGAAACTTTACAGAGACAGCCAGACAAACAGGTAACAGCAACATTGAGAAGAACCTTTAAAATATAATAGAAAAAAAGTGAAATAGTAGGTTTTTCTTTAAGATAAGTTTGCATTTTCTATATGTTATGTGTCAATAAGAACATGAAGCAGAATGCCAGATGTCTTGGACAAGTCCTACACAATTTTTGTCCACGCAAATCAACAGGGATAAGGAAATAATTCTCACAGAACAAGCTATAAAACTGTGTGATTGATAAGAAGTTTGTTAAAATACAGGATATAGATAAATAAGCTTTTTTTTCCAAAGCACTCAAGCATTCTCCATCTGAAACGATATTGGTTAACCAACTAACAATAACATGGTGAAGCTTACGAATAAGTTATTTTGGTGCAAATGCAGAGGAGCAAATGAGAAAGCAGGCAGAGTTCAGTGGTCATAAGCACTGACAGCAGCTGAATACACTATCCAGCCACCCAGCTGAATGCTCATCTAACTGCTCAGGACTGAGCCAGGTATTACTATGGGCACATTCTGGGAATAGTAATAATCAAGAGTCATAAAAAGATAAGGTGAGGAGGAGCCAACTCTAATCCATCTTGACCAAAGCACTGCAGCTAATATTTCTGCATCCAGCTCCCTAGCTCTGGACCTAGTCCTGCTAAGGTACACAAGAGAACAATTACAGTTGTAAGTGTATTATTTAATCAAAATGCCCTCATCTGGATGATGACTGTTAGTTTTGTTCACTGTACTCCTAAAAAGAGTAGAAGGTTCAGCGAGAGCAATGCAAATGCCATGCAGAAGTAGCAGCCTCCCTTCAGCTGACAAGCCCCTTCAGTTCACAAAAACAACCCAAAGCAGGTCCCAGACTGCAGCACATACTGACTGTGCTGCAGTCCTGCTTCAGGCTAAAGTCAAAAGCAGAAAGCACCGCTGAGCTGGTTCATCAGAGCATGCTGTCATCAAGAGCTTTCATTCATCCTGGAGGACTCCACAATGCCAAGAACCTCACAAGCCTCGTTCAGACTTTTTTTGTTAAATAAAATTATTGGCCAGAAAAAAGGCAGAAGGTGTGAGCTTAGACTGAACTATCAAAAAATGATAAAGAAACAGTTTGACATCACTGACTCCAGAGACCTTTGTCACACAAAACAAGTCATTGCAGAGTAACACCTGAGTGTGTTTCAGTCATCTGAAGTCTGTGTCAGGAAAGGGGACTGCCTGCAAACAGGCAGCTCACTGCGCTCATCTAGCAGTGTGGATGTGAGCACACATGCCAACAATTATGTGATATTGATACAAGGCAACTCATCTCTTTGTTGTATGACTTGACAGACCTTCAAGAGCTTCTGGCCCTCAGGGTGCGTATTTGAAACTCTCCAAGCCGCCTCTGAATTCAGTTCAGTATTTCTTATCAAAGACATTGGGCCAGTAACTTAATAAAACTTCAACTTGTTTAAGAAGACTATACAAGAAGTAGTACTTCAAATGTAAGCAAACTATTCCAGTACTGGTACAATCTAAAGCTTTTTGTTATTTGGTGAAGATGAAGTTGGCTTTTTTTTTTTTTTTTTTTTAAAGTTTTTTTAAAACCCCACTCTGTCCTACACAACCACAGCAGGAAGCTCAATATTAATGCGTCACCTGGCAGCTTAAGCACCTGAATAGCATCTGAACGCTGCAATTTGGGTTGGCTACAGGCCATACAAAATACACGGGTCATATATAGGCCACAGAAAAATCAGATGACCTATTATTGCTACTTTGTACAGGAAAGTTCCAATTCCTCCAAATCTGGGAGAAGCGTTTCAGCTCCAGCCTAAATAAAGTTTTCCTAAATACTTCTAAATACTAAAGCACTTTTCACTAGACAACCTTGTCTAGTTGCTGTTATTAACACGCAGAAACTCAAGCATAAAAGTAACGCACGGGCTGCAACCGGGAGTTCAAGAACCCAAAACCACGGAAGGTGACGTCAGATACAGCAATGCTCACACCGCAACTTGGAAAGTTTCCTCAGGACCCGGGCAGTGCCACAGGAGCCTGAGTGCACAGGGTTGCCGCGGGTTCGTGCGGGGACCCCAGCGGCAGAAAGCGGGGCCGGGCCGCTCCGGGAGGATGGAGGAGGGCCCGCACTCACCGTTCAGCCGGGTCTGCCGGTTCGCTCGCACCCGCAGGAAGGTCTGCAGAGGGGAGACAAGAGCGGACACGTGTAAGCGCCCCCGGCCCGCGGCCGCCGGATGTCAACAGCCGCCCCCGCCTCGTAAACAAGGCCCGGTCCCCCCGCCCCGCGCATCGTCGGGACGACGCACCGACCCCGGGCCCGCCCCCCCTCGGCCCAACTTCAGCACCCACCTCTTCCCGGCCCCCGCCGCCGGGCCCCCTCCTGCCGCTCTGCATAGCCGCGGGCGGCCGGCGGGGCGACGAGGCGGCGGCCCCGGGGCGGCTCCCCCCGCGTGGCCCGGGATGCGGGCGGATACGGCGCGGCCCGGCAGGCGCCGCCGATCAGCCCCCAGCGGCCGCCGCCATGTTAGCCCCGGTCATGTGACCCGCCGCCGAGCGGGTGAAAGTTCACCGGGAAAACGGCAGGGAGAGGAGAGGAAGTTCCCATGGCAACCGACAGGCGGCAGCAAGGTTCGGCGAGCCCCGACCAATCAGAGCTCAGCGGCGGTAGGAAACTAGGGAGGTTTGGCCAATTAGAGATGAGGGGCGAGTGGGACTCCGGCGTGAGTGGCCAATGAGAGATCGGGTGCAAGTAGAACCCGAGGGCAAATGGCCAATCAGAACCCAGGGGCAATTGGCACCCTGTGCTACAGGGCCAATAAGAGCCCAGGAGCAACTGGACTCAAGGGGTCCTTAGCCAATAGGGCGCTTACTTACAAAATGAAAGCTGCTGATTGTGGGTTCTACCCTTTTAGTTAATTAAGCTGTCTTTCAGGAGGCTTTGGTGGAGGAAGGCACTGAGCAAGCCAGCATTCCTGCAGCGCTCCTACTCACAGATCTCCTTCTTCCCCAAGTGTCCCCGTGGTAAATAAGCATGAGGACTAAGAAAACCAAGCCGTAGGGATTCTGAAAATGTGTACTCCAATGATTCCCGTCTTAGCATGCTACTAATACAATGAATATTTGCTGTTATTGAATCCCCACAAGAGGCATTCATAATACTAGCACACCTCTGCGTACGGAAAGCTAAATTTTGCAGCTTTAAAGTCACCACGAGAGTCTTCTGCTCTGCTTCCTGAATGTTTCGCTTGGTAAGCCAGGAAGAATGAATTCTCATTCATATTGTGGCTTTATTAAGGATAGGCTGAGGCTTTACACAATCCTGGCACCCACTCTGAGGTCCCTTTACGTTGCCTGAGGAGCATAAAGCAGCCAGCATAGGCATAAATGAAAATCAGGCCCCAGAGGTCTTTTCTCCCTGCAGTGCAGACTTACAGCTCCCATTACGCATTTGCATTAAGGGCTGCAACCCTCCATAAAATATACTCACAAACTTAAAACACATTAGAGACTCACTAGACTCAGCACATAGAGGGGGCTTTTGCTGAGAATATTTGTCCTCAAGTATGACATAATAAAAATTTATAGGAACAGAGGACTGCAAGGGACCGCCAAGTTCACAGAGATTGAAATCTGGAGAAGTGGGGTGGGAGGGGTGCTCCTGAGCAAAGGGGGACATTGCAAAAGGCAATTGCACACCCTTTTGGAAAGAACATTATTTATTTATTAGCCTTAAAAAAGCAAGCAGGGAAGAGAGCAGGAATGCCTGTATTAGGCATTTCTGTATCTTCTGTGGGGTTTGCTGCTCTTACTTTGTACCAGGTCTCATATGAAGGTGAAGTGACCGTGATATGACACAACATTAGAACTGAAGGGTACCTTAGAGTATGTAGCGAACAATGGAAGATCTGTCTTTATTTGGTAATATAACCAATAAATAGGTCAGAGGACAGAATAATGGGCAGTAAGCGCACATTTTTTGCTGCTATTAATAGGACCTATCTTCTAGAGCACGTGCTTTAGTTGGGGCTGCTGGGCTGGGCCCACAGAATGGTCATCAGCTCTCTTTCTGCTGACACTAATGCAGACTGGGCTGGTGTCGAGTGGCTGATGTATAACGGCTTGACCTTGGGCACAGGACATCACTGTGAGGGACACTGGGCCATGGGCATAGGACAGGGTGTAGGGGTAGAATGGCACATAGGGTGGTGGATTTATGCCTGACACAAATACAGCTGTAGCCCACCCAGCCTCTCCCCATGGTAGCTGAAGGCATGCTCGGCACTGTGCTAAAGACTACCATTATTTTTCCTGTTGCCTTTCAGAGCTTTGTTGAAGCTAGTGGCTGAGCACAGGCTTGCAGCCAAACAGTGTGGATGTGTCTTGAGCAGGAGTCAAGTGTGCCAGCCTGCGCACAAACCACAGACAGATCCCCAACAAGCTGAGCTGCACTCTGGCTGCTGCCTTCTTCTTCCTTTCTTGCTCTGTCTCCCGGAGCTTTTACTCAGTGTGTCACAGCAGGTCTAAACCTGCTACTCCTCTGGGTAGAGGATTTATTTATTTATTTATTTATTTAATATAACCTGCAGGGTTATAAAACATGGTGGCACCGCTCTGCCAACATTTAAGTTGGAATCACAAGTCCGTTTGCTGGGCAGCAGTACACCAGTGAAATGGAGAGCTCTGGCCTGCTGCAGGCTGACATCATTCACTGCTTTCCAAAAAAAAATCACTTCTCTAAAAGTTTCACAAAGCACGGAGTAAGTAATGACAAACACAGCCATGGCAACGGCAGAGATGATGAACGTAACGCAGCAGAAAGCTCGGCGAAGATTTAAAGCTATGACTGAAAGCCAGCATTGGGAGGACTGTGCAGACAAAAGCACGCCTGCGTGGCCACGTGAGGGACAAGGTGCTCTATAGGCATGCGGAGCTGATGGAGAGCTGCTGGGGCGAGCTGGCTCCCACATACAGCGGAGAGCAAGGACGGTGCCTGCCTACTTACCTGGTATCTGTCTGAGTGATGGATGTCATCCGAGGAGTGGGGTGATGCTGTTGGAGAATCTCCTTCCCGCTTGATTGAAGCCGACAACAAAATTGACTGTGAGAGAAAGGAGAAATTCATGCTGTGAGCATCATCCAATGCTCTGCCCCTGACTAAGCTGCCCTCAAGGGCATGGGGAGCAATGTGAGGCTGGCCTTGTGCTTCTCATGCTGTGCATCGCCTGCCCTGCCTGGGGCTGGGCTGCAGGGCTGTGGCCTGCTATAGCCCAGTGCAGTGACATCAGGCAACAAAAGGACAACCGTCCTTCAGACAGTGATGAGTGATCCCATTGGAAGAGGCCGGTGGGTCTGCTGGCTGAGCAACAGGGTCGAGCTGGTGCTATTTGCAACATGCACTGCTGGTTTTAGAAGCACAGCCCAAAGGGGATGGCCATCTGAGCCTGGATGTGCAATTTAAAGTGATTCAGTGGATGAGAACTGCCTTAAAAATTTGCCTTCTCTCCTATCAACCGTCCGCTGCCCCATCTGACAGATGAGCTACAAGAATGCATCTTTGGACCACAGAGGTTGCCCAGCCCGTGTAGGAAATGAAATAGCCACACCAGTGAGTGCTGCTCAACGTGTGCCCCTCCTGTGCTGGAGAGCATCTTGCACGTGCAGTGTCAGAGCACTGCACAGCCATGCACTGCCCTGCAGATGCCGTGGGGGATCCAGCAGAGTCCCCTGGTTAAAGAAAACACCCCAGAAATCCACAAAAACCATATGGCAATGCAGCATTGTGCTGGCATGGAGCAGTGCCAGCATGTGCTCATCTGTCTCTGCAAGTTGCACTAAATCTCTCAGCAGCTTTGCATTAAAGCTCTCAGCACCTCGGCAGCACAGCCACCCTTCATTCTGTAACGATGCTATTTATTTTAATAAGTAGCACATGAAAAAAAAAAAAAAAAAGGCCTTTTAGAAGGTTAAAAAGATCAGTGATATTTGAGACCTAAGAAATCGCTGATAAACTTTGAGTCAACAGTAGCTAAGTCCAAATTCTACATGCAGTGAACCTGAGAGGAGAAATTGCTGCAGGAGTTTGACAGCATTTAAAAAAATGTATGCTGAGTTGTGAGTCAAGTTTATCATTGGAAGAATTAGAGGGGGAAGTCCAATTTAAAATTCTAATTTGAAATCGAAATTAACTAAACTAGGTTAAATGTAACACAATACGTTGTAAAAGATATACACTGTAAGCTTGGCTCTCCAGATGTTTGTTTCCAGGAATCAGCTGGCAAGATCCAGCAATAAATGACTGCTTGGAGATGTGTATGTTTGCGAAGGGAAGTGTAGATATCATCTGAATTGGACAGGTCAAGTGTGGTGACAACATTATTAAAAAGCATAATACCTTGGAGAAAGGCAAGCTTTCCAGCAACATTTGCCTCTGGGCTGAAATGAAACATGAAAAAATGTGCTTTTTTTTTTTGGAAAGATACGAGCAAGTGGAAGGATGACTCAGCACACAAATCCATTTGGTCAGCAGGAGGCAATCCCTGGGCTCTGAGAGCCCTCCTGGAGAGGAGAGCAGGGCAGTGTGGGCATTGAGTAGGGCTCCAGAACAACGTCCCAGTTGTAGCAGTGTTGCTGCCCTTTCCCCACTAATAAACCAAGCATGCGGAGCTGGGAGGGTTAAATACATTTTGTCTTCCAGTGTAGTCTAGAGAAGGGGAAAAACCACCCACCTCCCCATTCTTTGGCGACAGACAGACAGATCCTTCCCACCTCCCTCTCCCCCCTCAGCCTCCTGGTAGCTCTAATCCAATATTATTATGTGAAAAATGGTTGGGCTAGCTATGGAGACAGTAAATTAAACGTTATGTATTAGTTTTTAGCGTGTGGTCCCGGGAAGAACGGCGGCCCCATTTATTCCACAAACCTCCTGAGCACCATGGCGATGACCTCTGGAAAAACGCAGGGCTAAACTAATCCCAAAGATGTCAATCTTGGGGCCTCTTCTACATACACTTGCAGTTTAGATTAATAAACTGTCTATTTTTAAATTGTGTGCAAGCACTTCAATTCTAAATACCTCGCCGGCATGTTAAACACGGTGTTAGTGATGCCAAGTCACACTTCCCCTTTGCTGTTAGGAGGCTTGACTTCATCTGTTTTTCTTGTTTCCTGGCGATGTGGCACACTCTGCCTTTTGGCCCATGCTGGTGGGACAGCGTGGGGCAGGGGAAAGGCAGTCCTAAGGTCTGTGGCATTGGGTAAGGTGCTGGAGGAAAAGGTGACTTCACAGAATTGTTCAAGTTGGAAGGAACCTTAAAGGGCATCTAGTCCACTAAAGCAGTTGGCCAGCTTCTCTGCCTTCCAGATTTTGGCCTCTTTCTCCTGAGACTGTTGCAATGGGGCTGTTTCCCAGTGGCTGTGGCCAAGCTGGTAGCACTGAGCAGAGTAGAGGCAGTGCTAGAGCCCTGCTCCATCTCACTACCACCATCTGGGAAGACAGTTGTAGAGGTGAAGGCAGCTTTGCATTTTTCCTCCAGCCCTCTTCCAACTTTTCACTCCAAAACACGGGCTGCTTGCTGCCTTGGATGCCAGTGTAAGATTGGAGCTACTGGGAGAGAGCATCCTCATCTCCTGCTGCCCCTTCCCTGGCAAACCACAGCTCCCCGCATTGAGGACACATGTGTGAGCGGCTGTGCAGCCTCATATTTCTCCCTCCCCTTTAAATCATCTCTCCATTGGGTAAAGGCACTCTCTGCGGAGGTTATAAACCCTGAGAGGATCAGCCTGAGCATTACACCTGGGGCAAGCTAAATAAAAAAAGGTCACCGGCGCTTTTTAAACATGGACAAAAAAGCAGTAAAATGTGTTTGGAAAAAAAAATCTGGCATTAAATCATGACTTTTTGCCTGGCTCGCCTCATTAAAAGTGGCCTTTTGGAAGGTAAAATTATCATTGTAAGTGATAAGATCTTTAAGAAAATAATTCACGGCTTCTTCACCCTTTAATATGATAGCCGCCACCGGCTAATTTTTTTCTTAATGGCAACGAGGCCATCAATCTTGTCCAAGCCATGCGCTCGCTCCTTCCTGCGGCCCCTCCTGCTGTGCCTCTCCTCGTTTGGTGCTGGGCAGGTTTGGCACCAACCAAAGGTGCATGGCATTGCCTCCATCACGCAGGAAGGGATGGAAGCTGGACCCAGCCCAGCTGACATGCCGCTCCCTTTCAAGTCTGGTCATTCGAGGGTATTAAAGTGCTGGGCTCCGGCTTTCTGACAGCCCTGGAAAAACACGGGGAGTCTATTTTTCTTAAACAATCCATCACCGCTGCTGTCAGCAGAACAAATACCCCAACCCTGCTTTCTATGTATCTATAACCTTTTTTTTATTTTTATTTTTATTTATTTTTTTTATTTTGGCACAAAGTGTTCCCTGCTTGATGCATTCAGCTTTAACTCTGCCGCCTAAATAGGTACTTATCACTTAACATGGAGGTGATGGCTTGACATGTTTTCTGTCTCCTGCCCTCCCCTCCACGGTAGGGAAGCCGTCAAAGTGTTGCTAATAGCTGTTATCACTTGGGAACTGTAACCCGAAAGCAATGAGTGATACCAGGCCTGGCTGCGATTTTCCTCCTTCCCTCTGCTCACCATTTGTTATGCTGCTGCTGGAGGATCCCTGACAAAAAGATGCTACTATTAAAGCTGACTTTCCTAGAAGCTTTTGGAGGGTCCACATTTGCTGCCAGGCAAGCGAAAGGCGAAATTATGTGGTGGCTTTTATCTGGGTGGGATGGAACTGGGGATAGAAAGCTTCAACATGGGAAGGATGTGAATAGTGAGCAGAAATAACAGTGTCAGCAGGGAGCTGCTGATTTATTTCGGTGATGTGACTGCACAGGATAGGGGACCCCTTCACACTGAGCCACCAGTGGGTACAGCCAGGATGGAGGGGACAGATCTGTGCTCTGGAGCTGGGACACGACCCCCAGACCAAGTCCGTGTGTGCTCCTCCTGCCCAGTGCTGTGTCTCCAGCACAGATGTTCAGCCCAAGCAAAGCGAGGGGCTTTGTTCAGCGCTGATTTGTGTTATGGCACATAACCTCTTGGAGGTTTGTGTTGGAGTGGCTCTGGTATTCGTCACCCTGAGCTGGCAGCCGGCACGCACCCGAGGTAATTTCCCCTCCCTCACAGATCTGTAGGCTGTTCCCATGTCCCCACCTTGGCTGCAGCCTTGCCACGGCATTCAGATTTGGCTTTTTAATCCTTCCTCGTAAATCGGTGTTGCACAGGGAGGAGCGTGATGTTCCCAAGCCCCTACAGTGAGCTCATGACACAAGAGAAGGAGTCAAAGCCCTGGGGCCCCAACACTGGCCCCTGCCCCTACCACCAGACATGATATGGAGAAGTTAAATGATCGTGCTAGAAATTTCATCTCCAGTTAGGCAGCTGGCAAGGGCTTAGCACAGCCGTTCTGTCAGGGTTTCAGGCTCCAAATCTCGCTTGTTTCAAAGCTCTTTCTCCTTGGAGGGCTTTAGTGGTCAAATTTCCCTCTAGGTGCTGTAATTCTCTCTCGAACTGCTCAGCCAAGCTGTAAAACTGCAGAGTGGGTGGGGGATCACAGTGGAGGTCTGGGAGCACCCAGAGTGTTTGCTGGTGGTGGGAGCTGGCACACGAGCTGGGCTTTGGTGGGAAAGGCAGTCTGCCGTCATGTATGGCCAAGAGGAAGTCGCTGAAATTTAGGGAGAGATCTCCCTAAATGTCCCACTGAGATGATGGAACAGGTTGGCCAGAGTGGTAATGGATGCCCCATCCCTGGAGACATCCAAAGTCAGGCTGGACAAGACTCTGGGCACCTGATAGAGCTGTAGGTGACCATGTTCATTGCAGAGGAGTTGGACTAATGGCCTTTAAGGGTCCCTTCCAACAGTTCTCTGATTCTATACCCACAAAGGGAGAGTCATAGCCAGACAGTGGCAAAAAGCATTCTCAGGTAACTGGGAGCACATGGGGGTGCAAGACTCTCAGCATTACCTCTCAAGGACAAGCCAGAACAGTCAGCCTTTGAGGAAGTCCTGCATAGACACTCTGGGCTCAGAGAGGTCTGGGGGATGGCTGACTGGGACACATCTCCAGGACGTGCCCTCCCAAGTGGCTCTGCTGTTGGACTTCCCTATGAGGACCCAAAATGGTGTGAAAGGTTACTGACCAACACCCAGCTCGTGTTGGGGAATGGGATTTCTTTTCCAATCCATCCTGATGTCTCAGGCTTGTCATCAGAGGTGAGTGCCACAGGGAAGCCAGGGCTCTCTCTAATTCCTATGCATGGGGAAGACCTCTTCTACAGCAAAGCAGGTGGTCTTTTAGCACTTTTTTTTGCACCTCTGCCTTCTGCAAAGCTCAGACACACATGCAGGAGTTATCTGGGCTCTCAACAACATGAGGACGAAGGCACCACTTTGGAGCTCCCCAGTTTGCTGCTGCATGGGCAGACGGATTGTCTGCAGTCCTCATCTCGCAGCCCTTGTTTGGCCGTCAGTGCCTCAGTCAGCCCTGATAATAGAAGAACTTGATACAATAATCCTGCATTCATCGCATCCCATGTTGAGTGATTGGATTTTCTTTGACATATTGCCATGAAAATTGACCCAGCACAGTGAGTGACAGCTCTTGAGGGCAGGAGAGCAGGAAGCGAGGGATGTGTGCTTACTGCTACCGGCAGGGAGAGATGTTTGCTGGGGTAACTATGGGGAAGGAATGGGCTTTCTCAAAGGGAATTTGCATCCCAATGGCTCGATGGGCACAAGGGAAGGAGCAGCCTTGACTCGCACCTCATCCTCCGAGCCCTGTGTGGTGACAGAGAGGACTTTAGCACCGAGCTCACCCGGTGGTCAGCACATCACCTGTCTGTGCCACACAGGACTTGTCTCCCAGCAAAAACCACCTAGAAATAATGAATCCTCCTGGGCTGAGAGGCTTTCAAGCTCTCTGAGAAGGGAATGAAAGATTTCCTGATTTCACCCTCTCCCTCCCTGCTCTCGTGGCTTCTTGAAGTTAATGTTCTTAGGCCCAGACGTGACGGGCAAAGGGAAAAGATCCATGTGGTGACAGGGGACGATTGATCTCCTTTACATAGAACGACTCTCCAGTCCCAGTTTAATCCCCTCGCTCAAGGCAAATGGGATTCTTTGTCAATGGAAACTTCAAAAGCCCAGCCCTGCCGAGAGATGGACCTTCTTCTTTATCTGCTGGCTGCCACTCATGTGGTGCGTATACCTCCAAACAGCTCATTTGTCTTTTCTTCCGTCCCTCTCCCTCACAGACGTTATTTTGCAGGTGCCTTTCGCTCCTTCAGGATGCCCAAAGGCAACCACATTCCCTCTGGGTCTTTATTTTCTCTTTGGGTTTGAGTTTGCCTGGGACATATCCCAGGAGCACGCTGTCTCCCAGCTCCTGGCCTGGGGGGTTGCAGGGTGTTTATGTGCTTGGCAAGGCAGTGACCCCCATGTTGCATTCCAGCTGCTCCAAAAGATACCCAAAGCATGCAGAAAAAAATAGGCAAGCAAGTCCTGGAGCCACTTGCCTGCACAAGCACTGATCCTTCCTGCTGCAGCATCATCTTAAGGGCAGCTAATTAACAGATGCCCTTTGCAGTGATGCTATGATGCGTCTTGTTCCTGGCAAGCAGGGCTTGCTGAGCCGAGGGGATGGGAGGGGGATACTGGGAGGGGAATCCATCTGAGAAATGGTCTTTTAGTGATTTGGGTGTGCTTTGATCCCTTAGAGGTGGCCCCGCTTCCCTCTTCCAGAGCTGGCATATGGCTCTGGCCCCTTAGCTCCCGTGCATGATTTCACAGTTTGAGCTCAGTATGCGTGTGATCAGCTCTCATTAGCTGTCATTAGACACAATCTGGAATCCTGGAGCCTTCTGGGTCCTTCAACTCCAGCGTTCCTCAGCTGCACGGGATGTGGTGGGGAACAGGAACAGGAACAGGAAGAGCATTCCCTGTGCTAGCCTGGCTCCTGGGACGGTCTCACCCTCAAGGAACATAAAGTGGAGTGGGACGGGAAGGTGATGGGAAATAAAGTGCATCACTCCAGGGAAAAACATTTCAAGAGGTACTCACTTACCTTGGGGGTGCCTGCAGCCATAGCATCCTTCAGGATGGAGTTCTTACTGCCAAAAGAGAAGAGAATGGGGTCAGAGCCACGAAAACACTGCAGTGGGCAGTGTGGGGAGCTCTTGGAAGGGATCTCCAACAGCAAAGAGCTCTTCCACCCTGGGGAAAAATGGGGAGTGAGCCTATAGGGGCAATGGGATGATAGCCACAGGGAAGGTGGTGAGCACTGCATGGGGCCGGGCACAATAAAACAGGAGGATGGGAAGCAGAGGGGGAATAAATCAGTGTAAAGAGCAGGGGAACGAAGATCCCCGCTGCTGCCGCTGCCGCCGCAGGCTGGAGTGATTTGTGAAGCCAGTCTGCTCCCCGTTTAGCAGGGAAGGAGGTCCCCGGAGCAGCGCTCCTCCTTGCCTGCCCTCGCCAGCGGGAGATGCTGCAGATTTAATAACACCTTCTCCCCTCCAGACAGGTTAAACTTGAAACAATTACATATCAAAGCCGACATGGCGGGGAGGCCCGCGCTGTAATTTTTTGGTTATTAAAGTAATCTCTCTCATGTAAATTCTCCCGCTAACATGCTGCAAACAGCATTAGGAAATAAATGATTTCCCCGTGATTCGATTTGTCAATGCAAAGCACCTGCAGCAGGCAAAAGGAGCTTGAAATATGCTGCCAGCCCCAGTGCCGGTGCTCACGGCACAGGCTGGATGCCCTGAGCCTGGGGAGGTGATGGATGGATGGGTGGGCGGGGGGGGGGGGGGGGGGGGGGGGATGGAATTGTGTTTAATAACAAAATTTGTATGCAAGCCTGCATCCCAGGCTAAGGATGAGTGATCGGCAGCCAGAAAGTATTAAAAAGCCTCGCTAAACAGATGCTGACAATAGAACAAGACATATCAAATCAGATCTACTTCAGGAGCATTAATACACGCACGTGCCCCCCCCCTGCACGCGCCGTGCCGCACACACACGCTCCTTTCTTCTCAATCACAGCAATATGGGAGACATCAATAAATTTTTATGAGACTTTTAGAAGATCAACATGGTACTAGATGTGACAAAAAAGCAATGTGCCTGTCATGTTCGCTTTGTCGGGGACACTTTAGCCCCAGATGCCGAGCTGCAGTGGCAGCGGGGAGAAATTGAATTTGGCTGGCTTTAATCTGCCTTGATTTGGCAGATGGCTGGGTGTTATGAAATGAGAAGGGATGGAGGAAGGTGTTTTCTCCCGGGGCTACAGTCCCCTCCTCTCCCAGTGCCACCGCCCCACAGTGAGGTGACACCCGCGGTGATCTCTCCCCACTGAGTCACCCCAAATGGCAGAGCTCTGCTCCAGGCCCTCAGGTCAGTGAGGTGCTGCTTTTGCATGAGCATACCCAGAATGTGATGCTCAGAATGAACAAGTACTGTGTGTTTTGAGGACATCACAACCATCATCCAATGTGGCTGCTGCCTATGGTGTGCTGCCGATCCCATCCCACAGCCTGGCCATCTCTGGTCCCACAGCCCTGCCGCTCGCTCCCATCTCTGTTCCCAGTATGAGCAATTGGGACTTCTGTTGGGACATAAATGCCATCTTCAGCTCCCTCTTGCCTTCATGCCAGATAGAACCTGTTCAGCCTTGATGATGGCCAAAATTGAGCTTAAAATCCTCCACCTCCCACGATGTTTCCATTTTCTGAATTGCCCAAAGTGTGAAACAACGCTTTTTTTCTTTTATAAACCAATCAGTGGGTTAAAGTAAAAACAAAAAACAAAAAAAACCAACAACCCACAACAACAACTCATTTCCTCCCTTTTCTTGTTAAAGGTGTTTAAAATTATTCCTTTCCAAGGCTGAGAGGAAGAATCTCATTAATTCCCCCCAGCAATGTCTGTAGTGCCAGGAAAGTGGAGCTCCCAGGAAGACTTTCTTTGGTCAGTCAATGGTCTGCCATTGGGACTGGTGTGGAAGGGCTCTGTTTGTACTGCTCTTCATTGGGAGGAGCAGTGCTGACAACCACTTTTAGATCTGCTCCACAGCAGTTGTGCTGGGAAGAGGCTGTGAGTGGAAGGGCCGTCAGCAAAGAGGAACCTTCCCGTCCATAAACACCGCGGACAAATTAAAAATGGTAAAAGGGAAATCAAGACCTTTAAAGTTCAAACACTTTTTGGTGCCTTTTAAAGTTTTTTGCTCTAGGCTCTCGCAGAGAGCACAATCTTTGGAGACCTCGGGATTCTCTTTAATCACCCAGCCAGGCTGCAGTGGTCTGAAATGATTACACATTTACATAGTAATAACCCCAACACTCCCCACATTATTTCATGGCTAGCATATTTCCACTCAGCGAGTGATCCATGTGTTTTAAATTATAACCTGTACATAGGAAATTAGTTACTAAGTACGATATTCACAGGCTCTTCTGACACTTCTAATTAAGGTGATTTACACAGAATTATCCTACGAAATAAAAAAATGGTGTTTTGCTAGCTAATAAAATATAATTACTACCCACTTTTATAAGTTACAGTTAGTTTTAATCTATTTGGGGAATTGTTTGTCTAGTTCATTACAGCAAAACAACTTCTTTGCCTTTTAGGGACCCTCACCCCCCAAACTACCAAATAAGAAAGGCAACATCCTGGGAGGAGGCAGTACTTCGGGCAGCCTGGCTCTGCCCCGATGGCTTTGCTTCTCCAGCTGGGAGCCCGTATTCCTGCCCCATGTGCCTGCACATCAGGAAAAGCTTCTCAGAAAGAGCGGTGATGTGCTGGCATCAGGGAGGCCCAGGGAGGTGGTGGGGTCACCGTCCCTGGAGGTGTTCAAGGGACGTGGGGATGTGGCACTGAGGGACATGGTCAGTGGGCATGGTGGGCTGGGGTTGGATGGGATAATCTTAGAGGCCTTTTCCAACCTTGGTGATTCTATAATTCTGTGATGCCATGCATGCAGATGCTTGGTGGCTTTGCAGGGATGCTTGTGCTCATGCCTCACAACGCTGCATAGAGGCCAGCACGCACCTGCTATTTCCCATCCCTGCATCTCATCCCCAAAACACCCTCACCAGCCCCTGGGATTTGACAGCCCCAGCTGGAGCGTGGCCAGCTCCCATGTGACATCCCACAAAGCCAGGAGCATGCTGCGGCCAGCTGATGTATTTCTGTACAAACAATCCAGTGGACACAATTTATTTCCAGCAGCTCAGGCTCCCAGCCTCGGGATGGAGTAGCAGCAGCAGAGCTGTGCAGAGCAGATGCCGGCAGGGAATCAGCAGCAGCCGGGCAGAGAGGGAATTGGATTTTTGTGGACGACAGTTTAAATAAGTGGAAGTGTCACTTGAAGCCTAAATAAGGAAATGAGGGTTTGATTATATATTTTTTTAAACTACATGAGGCCAAACCCTCACCCAGCCGTGGGTGACAGCTCCCCGGAGCTGCCACACGTGATCTGTGCTGTCAGGGGGAAGGCACCGGGGTGTTTAACCTGCTCCAAATACTGATTTAAACATCCTCTGCATCCTATGGCAAAAGGGGCTGAGCGATGGAAAAAACAGCCAAAGCCCCTGGAGTGCTCTCCCAGTCGATATTTGCGAGCCCCAATGCCCAGCTGGGAGGTGACACTGCAGCAGGAATGCAACAGGAACACAAACTGCCACGAGCAGGGAACCCCAGCACATGGTGCCTCTGCCTGCCCTGTCCCTGCTCGTGGGGTTCAGCAGGTTCTGGGTAATAAAGGGGTGATGCAGAGTGAGGGGTGGATGGAGAAACATTTCACTATTTGAAAAGGAGGTGGCTGGAAAGAGAGAAGTTGGAGGGAAAGGTCATGTGTGAGATTGATCCGGGGGGCTCTTTGCTACCATGGCTGTAATGAGTGTTTAATTATTCCCAGCTCACATGGCAGTTCAGAAGAGGTTCTGCAGAAGGCATGCATCGCTCAAGGGAAAATCACCGGCCAAGGATTTATTTCTCACCTCTGGTTTCTGTGTATAGCCCCCAGTGCTGGGCCCCCTGTCGAGTGCTGCAACTCTCTGCCTCCTCCTCCTCCCCATGGGTTCCACAAACCCTGGGGTTAGGGCATGGGCTTTGGGTGCTGCCAGCCTGCAGCACTGCCAGGAGCACTCAGAGTGCCTTATGAGTGCTGCTTGGATGAGGAGATGTCTGGTCCACAAGAATGGAAATGCATTCACACCAGGTCATGGGGCTGCTCTGCATCCTTAAGGGATGTGCTAGGATGGGGAACCCAAAGCAGGACCAGGACAGGCACCTGCCCCTCCTGCCTGTGTTCCATCTGCTCTGGCAAGGGGCAGAGACACAAATCAGAGGGAGGAGAAAGAAGATAAATCCACTACATCAACAGCACACATTCACTAGTTAATAAACAGCCTTCTCTCCTCATAAATTCCCTCCTTTCTCCCATGGTTCTCCACCAGTGAGAGTGGTAGGTGTGGACCTAGGATGCTCTGAGCCTTTCTGGTGCAGAAAAGATGGGTCTGGGTGGGCATCCTTCCCCCTGTACACACAAGGTGGGGAAGGAAGGACAGCCACGGGGTGGGTAGACAGCATGACAAAACTCCATCCAAGCATGTGAGCTTTAGGTGGTGCTTGCAGGATATTTGGTGGGTGACAAAATGCCTCACCATGGCACAGCATGACAGCTGGTCCCACGTCCTGTCCAAGCGTCACTCACCAGCTGTTGCTCCCAGGCACCTACAGATGTGCCTGCATCCCAAATTTGGCTACCAGATCCCTGAACAGTGCTCTGATACGGAGCAGTTCTACTAAGCAGCATGGGACACTCCGTATGGGGATGAGGCAAACCTTCCATGCTGTATGGACTGACCCCATCCCAGCAGTGTGATTTGCTGGGGGATAAGGAGCCCAGAGGCACCATCCCGCTGCACAGAGTATGGCCAGGCACTTAATAGCACCTGTCCCCAGCATCTCCAAGCGTGGATTTATGCCTCCAGGGGTCACCTTTGGCGAGACTCTAATAACATGACTTTATTAGCTTTCTTGTTCCTTCTTTAAGATACAGGAGCACAGGGGGAGGAGGGCAGTGACGGGGAAAAGGGGGGTGCATGGGGAGGAAGCGCTGCCCTGGCGATTCCCCTCCTGGGTGACAAGGGGGAGAAGGAGAAAAATGGCGCTCCCTCGAAATTTATCATGCACCCAATTACAATGTTAATTGGCAAGTCCCAGAAATCAATTAATTCGCAAATTTTTTTCAATTAAAAATTAAGATAAATCATAAAACGTTATTAAGGAAAGGCCAAACTCTGTGAACTTTTTTTTTTCTTTTTCTTTTTTTTTTTTTTGGTAGGCATCTAGTTTTTGCTTTTTTTTTTTTTTTTTATTTAAATTAAAAAAAAAAAAAAAAAAAAGAGCTGTGTTGCCAAAGCCCGATGCCCTTGAGTGCCTTTGCTGAAGCGCAGGGGGCTGTCATCAGCAGGACTGGGCTGAAGACAGATAAAAAAATATCGACCAGTCGGACACACTGCTTCTGCTTTATTGATCAGGCGGGAATTTAACTTGCTGTGCATATCCACCGTGTCAGCAAGGGCCACGGGCGAAATTAAAAGTACTTGGCTTGGAGATGTCGCCTTGATACCGGGGGGTGGGGAGAGAGGGAGGGGGACGCAGAGGGGGAACAGGAGGGAAAGGAGAAGGAGGAGGTGGAAAAAGAAGAGGGGAAAAGCAGGAAGAGCAGCAGAAGTTGAGGAGGGGGAGGGAAATGCCCGTGGGCTTAGTGTGCTTCTTCCTGGGTGCCATTTCTCTTGGCCTGGTGCTCCCAGGTGGCCACTAGATGTAAGGAAGAGATGCAGTATGCAGTTCAATGGGGCTTTGGGAAAGAAGTCCCTCTCAGCACAAAGTGCATACCATCTTCCCCATTCAGACACTGGCGGATCTGCAGTGCTCACTGAACAAGATACCTGGCTGTCAGGTTAAAGTCTGCAGCATAAATTGAAGAGACGTGGGGCGAGAGCCATGACCGTGCTGTGACACATGGCAACAGAGCTAATTCGGGTTTTATGCTCTCTATTCATCCTGCTGGGCTTGGCAGTATGGCTGCTCATCCCTCCCTGTGCCATTTGGGGAAGGCCCTGTTGCGTGGCATGGTGCTCAGTGCATCCGGAGCAGCAGAACATAAGCACAGGGTTCCCTGTGCATGAGTAGGGTCAAGAGCCAGTAAGAACTGCTTGAGTGCATCCCACCTGCCCAGGAGGAACACTGAAAGCTGCTGGCATGTGGTCACATATGCCCTCAGGTGTTGGCATAGGGTGACTTTAATCAAAAAGGCCACCAAACTTTAGTGAAATCCAGGCTGCATCCCCTGGTGCTTGGAGACGTCTCTCAGAGACACTGACTTGTGTGGAAGCGGGTTGACCTGTACCCAGGTCCCATAGCCTGGGATCACATTTGGCTCTTTCAAGAGAATCAGAAGAGAAATTACTCCTGGACATGCCAGAAAGTTCACCAGAGGAATCAGGAGCTCCTGAGGTGCATACAGGGATGTCACCTGTGGATACAGTGTGGTGAAAAGGTGCAAGGAGAGCTGCCAGGGGCCACTAAGTGGTGGAAATGGGTAGGGGAAATCACAGATCTGAAGCACAACTTTGCTGCTGGCCATGCAAGGAGGAACCTGCTAGTTGCCATGCAGGGAAATAAAAATCCCCCTGCCAAATACATTTTTAAAAGAGCACTGCATTTTCAAGAACAGCACATCAGGCTATTGAAAAAGAATGCACCCAAAGGCACGTTTCCCAATCTTCCAGCGGTTGACTCAGCAACTGTAATATTTGTAATGTGATTTTCTTAGCCTTTTGGAATCCCCAGTGGCCCTCCCACCTCAAACCCAAATCGTAATTCCAAAGCTGCCTCTCTTCTTCACCTATAGGTGCTTGCATGAGGAATAAAACAGGTGGGTGTGAATCAAGAAGACCTGCATCCAGGCTTCATGCACACGAGTATTCACATATTTGGGGTGATGTGTGCAGAGAGTTGCTGTCATTATTTCTTATTTTTTAGTTTGGTGTTACTTAGCTGCTCAGTTAGGGACCAATACCTCTGCTCTCCCCATTGCATGGATGCAGTGAGCAGAGCATCCCTCCCATCACTGCATCCCTCCCACCACCACTTCTCTGCTGTGCTATGCTTGCGCTCCACCAAGGTGAGCCAGGAGGTAATTCCTCTTAGGAGGAGGAATACCAACAGTCTCGCTCCGCAAGAGTTAAAACCCATAAAACCGAGGCTTGTAGTTTTGTTTTCTTTCAATTTATACCCTTCACTTAAAGAATGGGGAGGGGGGGTAAAAGGAAGGAGGGGGAGAAAAAAGAAAGCCAGGTGACATATTCTAAGAGGGAGCACCGAAAACGTGTTAAGCACTTCAAAATCTCATATATTCAATCGGCCTCTGGCAAGACATCTGCCTAATGTTAGCGCTTAAATATCCTTTTCCATTTTACATGCATTCAAGTCTCATTTGAGCGAAATGAAACGGTATTATTAAAGGGAGATTTTGCACAAATGGCCTGAATTTGACATGTCAAGTTCAATGAGGCTGTTACATATGTAACACCGAGAAGGGCTCGGAGGCTGCCGCTCTTGAAACAGCGCCAGTGGCTCAGAAATGAAATTTGCATTCAGAGAGCCTGGCCGAGCCGTGCGGGGCTCAGCCGGGTGGTGCCCGCTGTGCTGGTGCTGCCCATGCCAAGGGCTGCCCCTGTGTCCCGGGGACAGCAAAAGCATTCCTGCAGCTTGGTGTGCAGCACCTCAGGTGGGTGGATGGGCAGCGCTTGGGTAGGTCTCCACTTCTCTCCTACTGCAGCTCCAGCCTGGAGGAATTCCCTTCCTTCTCTTCCACCGTTGCTGGAGCTCCAGCATGTGCTCCAGCAATGCCCCTGAAACCCCCAAAATGGAGACAACAGCGCAAGGCAGCCCTCAAATTGCTTTGCTACCAGCCTTTTCCCTTTCCATCTGGCCCCAGGGCAGCCTTGCATCTTGCTTGCACCCAATGCAACCCAATGGCCATTCTACCTTGGGGGATGTCACTCTGTGCAGCATCCCTGGAGCTGTGAGTCCCCAGTGCTGCAGGCACAGCAGGTAGGAGGGAATCTGCCTTCCTAACCCCTAGTGCTGGAAATTGATGATTTGGTTGCAAATCATTAAGGTTTATTAAAACTTAACAGCACGCACCACGATTGGCTACATCCTCTTTAAATCTAGAAAAAAAGGGCCCTTGGAAAGCAGCCCCTTGGTTCGCTTCTCCCCATCAGACTGATAAGTAACAGCTGCTCAGCCATTTCGGTAACGAGTCAGCATTGGCAGGGAGCAGCCAGGGCTGCCGGTGCCCGTCACGTTTATAGGCCTACATTTTATTTTTATGTTTATTGGGTTATTTGAGATCATTATTAGTTTCTCTCTCCTCTTGTTGATGTGTTCTTGCCCCCGGCGAGAGCTGGGGCAGCAGGAGAAGGGGCCACCTGAGGGATGGAGCCCAGCATCCCACCACCTTCATCCTGCCCATTGCTGCAGTGGGCAGCCTATCCCTGTGCTGAGTCACGGCCCGCAGCCTGGATTGAGCCTTATCTGTCACCAAGCGCAGAGTCGTTATTTAATAATTAATCAAGACCTCTGATTCTTTGCCACCGCCTGCATGGCCGAGCGGAGCGGGCGAGAGAAGCGAGGGCAAGCTGGGGAGAGCTGTCTTCTCTCTAACTGCTGCTGTTATTTAAACGAATAATGCCATTCTTTTTCATTTGTCAGCTGGCCCACAATGGCCCTTGTCACGCTTTATGATTTAGGGTTTCCTTTCCTTTCCCATTAAACGCCACCTTCCCATCACCGCCTCGCGCCAGCCGTCCTCCGCGCCTGGCTCGCGCTTTCAGTTTTGCTCTGATATTGGCCCAACTTCTTTGATGGGCTCCTCGGAGCGCTAATTGCTTCTGTTCATTTAAACCTGTTCACTAATTTGCAGTGGCCCTTTATTAAGTTGGATGCGGCCCAAATGACGCCATAAATTACGCTCGCGAGGGGAGCGGGTGGCGCGGGGGATAAATGGGCTCTTCCCTGCCCCCTCTTTCCCTGTGTGGTGCCAGGATCCAACATGATGCCGCGTGGGTGCTCCCTCGGACCTCTCTGCTTCTCCCCCTTCTGAGCATTTCTGGCTTGCTGCAAGGCAGAGCCCAGCCAAGCTGGGGCAGGTTCCTCCACGCTCCCCATAGCCATGGGAAGCCCCCTGCCCTGATGTGCACACATACATTGATACAGGAGCCCTCCCTTCTCTCCTACTACCTGGTGACGTAACTCAGCTTTTCACTGGTGGTATGATTCCTTTCCTCACCTTTTAGTGACCGGGGAATTAATTAATAATTGAAATAAACACGCTCTTTTCCAAGGCTGCTGAGTTTTATTAAGGCAGGGGCAGGGATCTGACAACCCTTGGCTGCAGCCATTTCCTAAATAACTGCTAGCAGTTAAAATGCAATTATTATTATTATTATTATTTTTAATAAAAGGAGGACTTGGCCATGCAGGGGAAAGCATCAGGAGCAGAAGGCAGCTCCCACCCTGCTCCATTGCAGGATGCACCCCAGATGTCACAGCACCCATGCAGCCAATATGGGGCCATGCTGCAAGTACCAGCTCTCGCTGTTTTTCTTTGCTTGCATGTCGTTTTCTCCTCTGCTATGGCTGGATGGGGCTCTGGGCAGCCTGATCTAGTGGTTGGCAATCCTGCCCATGGCAGGGAGTTTGGAACAAGATGATCTTTAAGGTCTCTTCCAACCTAAGCCATTCTATGATTCTATGATCACAGGCTGCTTACCTGATGTTCAGCTGGGTGAGCTTCTCCAGCTCCTGCTCCATGTGCTCCTGCAGCTCTCCAGGGCGTAGGAGAACCTGGCAGATGGGGCAGATGGGAGCCTGGCTGTCAAACAATGTCGCTTTCTTTTTGCCTGTGGGGAAGGAAAAGAGGGGATAAAGCTTTAGCTCCTGTGCAGCCTCAGTCCTGGAGCAGTGGCCAAAAGCAGCATTTCCTGCTCCGAGATCCATTTGGTTTGGGCACAGCTTTAGGGCAGATTTTATCATCCCTTCTGCTTCTAAGCAGCAGACACAGAGGGGACTGGCATGGTCTGGAATCCAGTTTTCTTCTGGAGTGCCCCCATTTCTCCCCAGTTCTCGTGCTCTTTCAGGCAGTTACTAGCTCTGTCCTGCAGATGGGCATGAGGGCATCCCAGTGACTTAGCAGGGGAAGGAACTAGCATTGAGAGTCGTGGTTAGTGGTCATAGTGGTGATGGTCAGCAGTTGGGCTAGGTGACCTTAGCAGTCTTTTCCTACCTTAATGACTCTGTGATTCTATGATTCTATGAGCAGTCCCATTTCTGGGCTGTTCCTCTGCAGCCTTGGCTTCCCCTGTTTCCAGAGCAGACAATGCAGCTCAGAGCCAAATGCCACAGCATTTCTCTCTGTTCTTAACTAATTTAGAAGAAGTATTTAAACTCTCTGTGATGTCCCTGAAGCTGGGGGTCAGGACCCCGAAGAGCAGAGCTGTTCGCCCCCAGATGCAGGCACGGCTGTCCCCTTCTTCATCCCCAACCACCACCCTCCTCGTCTCCAGCCCTGCCAGGTTTTCCCACTCCATAGCCAATTTCCTTCAGCTTGGAAACTTTATTACCTCCTCTGTAAGGAATATAGAGCGCTTATTTAACATAAAATAAAACTCGAAAGCAAACAATGAAGTTTCAATAAAAGGGGAAAGCTCAGGGGTGCCCGCACCCCTCTCCCAGCTGTATTAGCAACTCTGCTCATGAGAGGGCGTGCGGAGCCTGGCTCAGCTGTGGCAGAGGAACATGCTTTATAGCTGCCTGTTGTCATCCAACGCCGACCCTCCTGCTGGATTATTTATTTATGTATTAGACATGGATCAAATTGGTTAAATCCGAGTGAGAGGCAGTAATGCACAATAAAGCAGCCAGCACTGGATGTGAGGGGCTACGTGCAGCGTGGCCTTCCAATCAGAAGCCAAAAGGTGCCATTTTATGGCTCCTAACGATGGCAGAGCCCAGTTAAATGAATCCCCATTAAAGGAATAGACCTTCTTGAAGTATAAAACATTGGTGTGAGCAGCTTTACTGGGGCCCTGCTGCTCTCTGTAAGTGCCTGGTGCAGGCATTTAACGAGAGGAAGAGTGTGAGATGAGTTGGAGTCACCTTGGCTCATCCTTGCCTTCCAGCAGGACATAGTGCACGTGCCTGGCAGAGCCCTCTCCTTTGGCCTCCCTACAGAGGGAAACTGAGGCACAGTACAGAGCTCAGTGACATGGACCTTCCCCTGCCTCTCCAGCACCTCTGTCCATTGGGAGCTCTCCCACATGCAGGCCCAAGAGGAAAAGCCCAAGTTGGACTTGAGTTGCTCCCAAGGCACATCCCTTGGCTCTGCATCCCTAATGCCTGCTGGAGAAGGGAGGATGAAACATGCTGCTGTGCAGCTGGTGCATCTCCCTCTCTTCAATAATGCCCAGAAATCACCAAATCCAAACAAGCAGCTCCTGCTGACCCTTGCGGGAAAGGTCGGCATTTCAGTAATTCCACCTTCCTGCTGGAGCTTTTCCACTTTTGTGTAGCAGGGGCTGAAATAGCCCAGGAGCGTCCCCGACCACCTGCTATTTATAACCCCAGCTTCACAGCAAAACAATGGAGCTGTCTGAGCCTCCTTCCCAAAATAAACAGGCAGCCTTTGAGTGGACGGGAAATCCTGCTGGATTCCCGCTGCGGTGTGTGCAGATGGATAGGGAAGTGGCTGCCCTCTGTCCTCCTACCCTGAATCCATACTCCCTGTCCCAGCCACCACCACAGGGCCCTCCCATCCTCCCCTACCACCCACAGTTTGCACTGGTGGGATGGGGATGCTCTTAGAGTTTGACCTGCAGGTGTCTGTGGTATTCTCTTGCGTGTTTGCTGTGAGATGGTGGACAGTCCTGGAGCACAGTGGCAGTGGTAGGAGGCGCCTTGGATAGGGATGTGCAGCCAGGATTCCACTTGGGAACCTGCTGCTGGACTCCTGCTTACTGTTTAGGGATCTTTGGTGGGCAAGTGTTCCTAAGCAGATGATTTCAGATTTCAACATCTGGGTTAACTGGGGGGGGGATCTCAGACTATAGGAAGGACCTTCACTGCATTCTACTGCAGGAGAAATAAGCATCAATGGCCTTCTCTACCACCTACACAAATGATATTGCAATGGCTCTGTGTCATGTCAGCTGTCACCCTGCATCTGCTTGGTGTTGTGACAGCAAGGCAAGGTCCTTTGACTCCAGCAAGTGTGGGAGGCTGGAGCTCAGGCTACAGGAAGGGCTTCAAGAGGGGCAGGAGATCTGGGCTCTGGCCATGCAGCCAAGACCCTGACACACAGCCTGCCACATTCGTGCTTAAAGCGGGAGACAGAGGAGCCCCGGCTCCTGGCTCAAGGGTTGACAGCTGCACTTTAGCAGGCGCTAGGCTAAGTAACAATGACAGCAGAGGGGAGGGGATGGCTCCATGCCAGCAGGACACCTACACAACCCATCTCAGCTCTGCCCCATGGCCCCACACTCGCTCATGCTGCCCATCCCATGGCACCCTGCTCCATGCTGGTGGTGCTGGGTGGTGGAATGGCAATCTGGAGTGTTCAGGTTTCAGTTGTCAGTGCAGAGACAGAGGGAGATGTGAACACTCCGTGCATCACTCTCTGGTGCTGGGCATCCTGATATTCAGGAACAGCCAAGGACACTGTGTTGTGCGTGCAGCTGGACCAGAGGGCATCTGACCGTGGTGAAATGAAAGATGCAGGCCCCAAGCTGCCTGCTCCAGCAGCAAGTGCTCCCTGCCCTGCCCTGTGCCAAGACTTCTCCTGGGAGACCCTGAATGGCTCTTTTCAGGTTTCTCTTTTTGGCAGCTGTGTTTTTGTTTTCCTGCCCCTCTCTCTCCCCACCGCTCTCTGGTTCCACATGTTTACCCTCCCCGGCTCTGCTGCACTCCCCCCGCCAAGCCCCTGCTTGCCAGTGCCAGAGAGATGAAAAGGCAGATCTGCAGCTCCTGCTGCTTGCACAGTCTCCTGGGCTCCGTGGAAATGTTGAAATCCAAGTGTTGAAACCAAATATTTCCTGCTCCTAAAGCCGAACGCCTGACGTGCAGACGCACCCCTGCGTGGAGGAATTTCTGCATGGGTTCCATCAGAGGGCATTTGTGTGTGAATGGCTCCCAGCCTTGGCAGAGGACAAACAGACCCTAGATCAGGAGATGCTCATGGGGACGCACTTGCTGTTGAGGATATGCTTTGTCTTCCACTAAGGCCCTTCCCTAGGCCACCTGCCTACGTCCCAGAGCATCTTCTCACTGCCCTGTCCTTCCTCATGGGCATCTAAAACTTTCCCATTTCCTGCCTTGCCCCCAGGAGCACCAGACCTGTCCTCCCAACTTTTCATTTCCCGATATCTCAGACTGTTTTCCACTTGTCTGAGTCCACAGCTCTCCTTCCTTGGAGACGCCTCTCTCCATTTCATCCTCCCATTTTCTCTCTCCCTCTTAACCACTCCACCATTTAACACCCATCACAGCTGGTTGATCTGAAACCCTCCTGAATAGCAATGACCCCGCGCTGGGGCCCCGCACACTGCTCTGGGGCCATGTAGGAGCCAGGTGGGTGGTAATGGAAGTGCTGACACAGGCTTCTTGACAGCCCCACTGCTATAATAATCCCTCCTGGCTCCCCCTCTGCTCAGCTTCCATGGCGATTATTTTCCATTCCATGATGGGCCGGCTGTTATTTGTGTACTGATAGCACATATCTCGTGTGACAAGCTTCCTTTCCTTCCAGCTCAAAAAACAATAATTCAAAGAAAGCCCCGTATTAGCTTGGAAATAGCCAAAAGCCTGCTCCTCTCCGGTGAGCCTGCATGGCATCCGATGGCATGACAGCAAGTGGCGGTGAAGGGGAAGATGACAGCAGTGGTGATGAAGGTGGGGGTGGATTGGGTCAGCAAAGAGCACCGGTGACAGCAACAGAGTGGCTTTGGGAGGAAAAATGACTTGGTCATATAGGGAGGGAGCATGGGGAGAACTGCGCATCTCCTTGCCACACAGGAGTCACCTCTCTGAGCCATACCAGGTACCTGGGTTTTTTGGACAGCACATGGCATGGGACCATTCCTGCCATGAACTCCAGAGAGAAGGACAGGGGTTTGTGCGGAGGAAATAGGAGAACACAGATGGACAGAGAGACCCCATGAGCAAACGGGGTGCAGCACAGAGCCAAACAGCCCCTGAAGGGTCTGATCCCTGGTAAGGGGCTGGGCAGCCGAGCAGCTTAGCAAATACACCTGCTTCTCCCGAGGCTAAGCAAAAATCTAAGGCAGGATCCAAGGCTGAAAACTTGCTGAAATATTGATTTCCTTCTGAAGAAAAGAGAGGCTATTGCAGCTGTGAGCTGGACACTGCAACGCTGCACAGCGCTGCTGCCAGACACTTGGTGGGAGCTGTTCCATGTGACACCGCAGGGATGGCCCTTGGAAGGGAGGCACAGTCCTGTCCTCGTGGGCACCGTGCTTCTGGGGGGCTCCTGGGGACATCCCCAGAATCCCAGGATTCCACCCCAAAAGCCACCTCCCCCCTGGATGCTCGTCTGCTGGGAACGTGGCTGCCCACCGCGGGATGGAGAAAGATGGATGGAGCCGGGCAATAATTTAAGAAACTGAGTGAGTCTGTACATCCAATCACTTTACAAATCAGGGGAAAAGGAGAGAGGAGGAAAGGAAGGAGGGGGGGGAGAAGTGAAAAGGCCGCGCAGGGAAATGCATCACAATTACTGTCTCAGCTCTAATGAGGAGCCTGTCATGAGGCTGTCATCCTGCGGAAAGCCACCTACTCAGAAAGATTCAATAAAAAAGTAGCAGAGAGATAAAAAAGAGATATATTTCAG